GTCGCAATGTTGGTGTTGCCCGTATGTGATTAAAACTGGTAGCGTGGGCGACTGCTGATCTGTTGGTGACTTCTTTTACCATCGACAATGAACTGCATTTCTAATGTCGGACTGTTTGTGTTAGCACTTCGGATGGTTACCCTATGCTTTAATGCGTGTGTATGCTAGATATGCTGAGACAGCAGTGTGTCAATCTTTCCACAAGGGACTGTGATAAACATTCTTTGCGTTTTTCGTTGGCACAGGAGCGGAGCAAAGATGGGGTGACCCGTTTCCTATGAAGCTGAAACAGACCAGACTGTTTATGTTATAACCACCAACCACAATTCGTGGCAAATATATGATATACCTCATTATATATTTACTGTATAGTGCAAACAAATCAGGTGATAGTACACATCGTTGTCTCTTATCCCCTCAAAGCAGATAAATATGGAAGTGAAACCTGGAGCTGCCAGACATGAAGAGCGCAAAATGTGCTCGATTCACCGACACAAAACAAACAATAAGTTGTTTTACGCTATGGGTTTGCCCCCAGTGATATAAGGATCACTACCCTGTTGAGCCGTTTAATTTAATTACAGTCACACATAGATCGCAGTTAGTCTTGGTCGACGATGTTTCAGTCTAGCCTTTACCCATCTAACAATAGTCATCACTTCAACGCGGAGGAGCAGATACACACATTGTGGCATCCATATCACAGCTGCATTGTTCACCTCCGGGAAAACAAGAATAGATTCACTGCCTCCCCAACAGGCACGTCGTAGGAGTCGACTAATTGGGGGCTTTCTTCGAAGTCGGATGAGGATCGAACAGAAAAAAATCACATAAACCTGGCAGTTTTCTCTAACACAGTTATTATCAGGGCACCGCTACGGGTAAGTAACCTACAGTCCAGTGTGTGGATAAGTTAGGAGTTGAGATATCTTTATGGCACCTCGAACTCGTGCATAGGTTCCCAGATTGCATTCCAACATATACACCAGCGTCCTACGGTTAAGAGTGTCAATTTTGTAAGGGTTGCCTCAACTTCTTGTACCACCGGTGTGCCTCTCATACCTGGCTGTGTCGATCTTTACTCCAAGCCGTCGCATTCTTACCGTGGTTTGGAGATGAGATAATAAGGTGGGGGGGGTGAATTGAACAGAAATCATACACTAATTAAAATAATGAAGATCACAACATGTTTAGACAGAATTTGTTTTTATTTAGAAACATGACTACACATGAAACGAGCAATACACTTGATGATGATTATGATGGTGATGCTGATGATGTCAATTCAATGCGACACGTTTCCTGTTAACGGTTTATCCAATCAAATTATGTCTACAAAGAACACTAGCCAATCAAAACACTAGCAGCGGAACAGACGAACTCCGAGGACATATTTGAATTCGACGAAACACGTCTGAACCTGTGAATATTGTCATATCTATATTTGTAAGCATCGTTTTAAATCTAGTGCGTGTTAAAATAAAGTATATAAGCTCTTGTTTGAAATATATAAATTCATTTACTGTTTAGAGGGTTTCTGAGATTAAGTGTAGTACAAGAAAGTTACAGGTCGTTAGGGACGCCTTCCTGTGTACAGACTGAACTGTTTGTGGTACGCCTAGCCCAGTGATACATTACATAATATGATTATTACTGTAGCATCTTATGTAATTTACCCTTTGTAAATAAAGAAAGTTTTTCGTGCCAGAGTTATAATTGCTGTCACAGTTATTTAGATACTTCTGTTATACCACTATTCTCCAATCTCTGGGTCTACTACTACTACTATACTAACTACAACTACCTACTGCTACTACTTATAGGGCTCTTCTTTCAACTTCGGCCGGTAGACAAACATCGACGGCCGGTTAGTCGAAGTTATGTCCCCTTGCTACAGTGCAATTACGGACTGGACAGGAGGGAACGAAACAAATGACATAATTACTGTGTGTTGCCTATAGACAGCATACGGGTAGGGTTTGGTTTAGCGGTAGGGTTAGGTTTAGGGTGTGGGTTAGGGTTAAGGTTAGTGTCGCCGCATCTCGTCTTCGCACAAACTCATAGTAGCAGCCCAAACCCTAAACCTACCCCTAACCCTAACCCTAGGACACTGCACGCTGTCTATCGCCGACACACAGTAACTATGTCACTTGTTTCGCGTCGGAAGAGGCGGTATTTGAACGCGGTTTCTAATTTGAGTGGCAGCGCGGGGTCTGCATGTCGACCTCACTGTGTTTTTTGATTCGTGCCGTCTCCAGTCCATAATTGCACTGTAGCAAGGGGACATAACTCTGACTAACCGGCCGTCGATGTTTGTCTACCGGCCGAAGTTGAAAGGAGAGCCACTTATAGTATAGTACTAATAGTAGAAGTAGCTGACACAGTAGTTTGTCTTTCCACAAGGGACTGTGATAAACATTCTGTGTGTTTTTTGTTGGCACAGGAACAGAGCAAAGATGGGGTGACCCGTTTGCTATGAAGCTGAAATTAAAATTACCAGATTACTAATAGTAGTACTACTGCCACTGACTTCTCTGTCCATTCGTTTTTCTTTACTCCATCACGAGAGTGACCTACTGCATTGCTGTCCTGTTAAATTCTCAAGCATTTGTCATCATCTGAGATTTTAGCGAAGTTGTTGTTCTATATATTTTTATATTTTACCTGCGTGTTTAAAGTTTTTACATGTATTTTCATTCTTCCTTGCTTTTGTGGCCTTTTATTACTGTTTTCTTCACATAGCACTTGAATATTTTGTATATATTCTGGCTGTATTACCAGGGATATTTTCCCTAGTGGTAGAAATGATACACATTAAGAGCATCTTTTTTAGGCAGGCTGTTTCTAGCACTATTGCAAGACAGTTTGTGATGAGGATCCGCACTTTGAAAACAAAAATACAATTTGCAGTGTGTATCGGCAGCTTTTTGTGTGTGTGGTATTCCGGCGACTACCCCCGCCGCCGAGAGTATCCCCCACGCCGCGCGGCTGGGATTCATGAGCAAAGCTGCAGGAGATGCGGAAGCTGCTGCTCGTGAGTCCCAGGCATCTAGTATAGGCCAGTCCACGCCGGGATACTCTCGGCGGCGGCGGTGGTCACTGGAAAACCGCAGATTAGGTCGCCGGAAGTGCGCAATTGACACGTGACTGAGGCTCTGTTAGGGTGTTTTTGCGGCCGCCATATTTTGTGCCCGTTTTTTGGAGGATAGCCCACACACACTAATTACTATTTAGTTTGTACAGTTATTTACAGACTAGCTGCGATGATTTCAATGTAGCTTAGCCATAGTAAAGTACAGTCTATTTGTTTAGAGAACTTTCCCTTAAACCATAAATACGGTAGTATAGGACATTGTCTGTGTAATACACATCAGAATCGCTAGATTCTGAACAGCTGATCTCTTAGCTTCGCTGGTGAAAATTCATCGTCCGAATCACTTTCCGAAAAATCTAAATTTTTAAAATCATTATCAGAATTAAAAACATCTGACTGAAACAATTTCAGAGCTTCGTCAGCAATAACATTCTGCGACTTGTACTTGTGGTTGGAACATTGGTATTCATGGCACTCGAAAACGGACTTAGAAAATGCAATGTTAAAAAAAAAATTTCGCTGTTATTTCTATCAAATTATGCATGTGTTTCTTAGGCTAGGAAATAAAACTAAAAGGATTTTGGCAGAGTGACTTTCCCTGAATAGTTTAATCGTACCTCCGAACATTAGAACCTGGTTCGGAGGCGTGTGCGAAGCAAAATGTATGGGACACATAATCGACGATGACAGTAATGTTTGGGCAAAACGGAACTTCTCAAACAACGCTCACACCGTTGCTTGGGCTTAAATAGTTAAATGTCAATCCACGTTCTACTCAAACCAGATAGTGGTTATGTTAACTAACAATCCTAGATCTTACTTTACTTAGTCGCTCCTCATCTACCTTGGGATGTAGAGGTTACACTCCTAAATCACCTATGACAATTGTGTTAACTAACAATCCACAAATTGTTCACACCAGTTGGTTATGTTAATAACAATTTGCAGATCATTCTCACCAGTTAATTGTTAACTGACAGCCCCCAGATCACTCACATCAGTTAATTATTTTAACTGACAACCTACAGCTAATTCACAATAGTTAGATTAACTATCAACTACCATATCACCCACATAAGTTAATTATGTTAAATAACAACTCACAGAGTAAAATAACAACCTATAAGATAATTCAGACTAGTTATGTTAACTAACAACCCCCAGATCATTCACATCAGTTAATTATGTTAACTAACAACTCACAGGGCGTTATGCTGACCACATTACCCACCTTGTGCCGATTGGTCTGTAAAAATACGGTATGCTCTTCCCATATGTCCGATGCTCCTAAGGTGTAAAAAAGGATCTTTTCTTTTATTTTTAACTTTTTAAAAACTCACAGAGTAGAACAGTAGTTACAGTGGGTTGGGGTAAGGACCAGCTCTAGAAGTTTTGGGTCGTTAAAAGTATCAGAAAGCCAGGAAACCCAGTATTACCACCCTCTAAAATGTTGTACTTTCCTGTGACATCATCTGGGGTAGGATATCACGAAAGAACCAATATTTTTCTGTGCCCGTGTGGGTTCTGGGGCCCATTGTGGGAAAACAAGAATAGACCCACTGCCTCCCCCAACAAGCATGTCATAAGAGTTGACTAATTGGGGGCTTCCTTCAAAATCAGAGTGCATCTGCCCGAGAGGCAAGAAACCAACAGTCTGCATGCAAAAAGACAAGATCTGTAAAATGGATGCACACGCAAAACAAAGCCACAATCCAGAAATGGATCAACAACCAGGTCTTTCTGCTGGGGTTGACAGCCGGCGAACACAAACAACAAACAAAATACTTGTACTTGTTTGCCTTGATATCTCTTCATGTTATATAAAGAATTAAACTCATTTATTCCATTTTTAGGAGACAATATGGCTGATTTTAATTTTGAAAATGAAGTCAACAATGTTATAAGGATGGATGCACCTTTGACCCGTGGTCCTTTGGCTGAAAGACTGCAAAAGGAACAGACAAGAGTGCATCCAATTAGCAGTACTCCATTAAATACATCACACAATTCTAGTGTTGTTTCGATGAAAACACCCAGCAAAGGGTTGAACAGGTCTGTGGCAAGTCTGGGACATAAGTCCCAGCCATGCAAGACTCCAGGATCTGGAGGTAAATAGTTATGTTCATGACAACACATGTGTTTGTCTTTTTGTTTCTCTTCCTGTGTGAGGGCTTAGGACCTTATTTTGGGAGGAGGGTAGGATAACCCCACTGCCTCCCTAACGAACATGTTGTAAGATGCGACTAAGGAGTTTTCACAAAGTCGGAATGTATCTGCCTGAGAGGCATGGAACCAGCAGTCTGTGAACAAATAAGCAAGGTCTGTAAAATAGATAAGCACATAAAACTCAAGTTCTGGAGCAAGACATAAGTCCTGAAGTGGACGAACAACCTGAACTTGCTCCCAGAGTTTACAGCCGGTGAACAGAGAGAAGAACTACTAATCATTAACAAGTTCATAGTGGACTTTCTGTAGATGAAAAGGAAAAGATAATTACATAATAATGGGGCTAAGCAGCGTCCACTTAAAAAAAAAAAAACCCCAGGAAAGTTAGTTTGGTTAATAAATTCCTGAAGAAGTTGGAAGTATTGACTGAAATGTGCAGATTTAGCAGCTGTACTGAAAGCAAGCACAACACTTACATCCAAAACAAAAACAGAACAAAGAAGATGCTAAACAAGAGAAGAAGAAGGCATACTATGTAATGTTGTCACAATAGATGTCACTGCACACAGGGCAATCCCATGCATGCTCTCTTCTCTAATACAGAAGCCACTCAAAGGTACTGATTGTTCCCATAAGAAGTTGATTATAGTATAGTATCTCCTGTCTTGGCCTCAAAGACAGCATAGACATGCTTCACCGAGATTTACTCCCAGGTCATGTAATTGTGTTAATGTCTGAGATTCATCATTATCTGCCCGCCTAGTCCGTACAGTGTTGATGGCATCATCTGTCCATGCTTTTTTATGTATGCATTAGGGCACTACTTACCAGCTAGTCTGCTCATTTATTATCTTTTACTCCTGCATGCCCAGGTGTGTAGATTCAGGTGATAGAGGTGAAGAGGAAGATATGAAGATAAACCAACCTTTTATTTCTTTATACCAGGACGAAAGAAAACTCCCGGCAAAGGTGTGAGAACTCCCTCAGCAGCAGATAGATTTATTCCCAACAGAAATGCAACCCAGTTTGATGCATCACACTATAAGGTGAACTATTTAACTTTTTTGTCATTGTTATCTCATCTGTCTGTCACTGAATGTCTTATTTCAGGACCTGTAGATTACAATCACCAAACAGGCACTGAAGTGAGAAATAGATCGACTGAGGAATCGAGGATGACCAAGAGAATGCCTAAGTTGAATGTTGAATTAAGAATCGACATCACAGCACTCGAGACACCCCCATAAGTGCCCCATCTTCAGCAGATTTCCAATTCCGATGGCACCAGTAACTGTTTGATTGTATATCCATCTTGCCTTTCCCCTGAGTGTTGAGCGCCGGCCAGATCCCCTTGTAACTCCTTGCAGCTCCATTCTCCCCAGACCATAATGATCTGTCTGTGCCTTCGCACTGTTCAATCGCTTCCAAAGAACCCTCACAACATCCAACTTGTCATACATCAGTTCACCACCAAGCAGTGCAGAACTGGTTAGCCTATCTGCCTGCTCATTTCCCAGCACACCGGCATGACCTGGAGAAAATGCCTGAGGGGAGTGTTAATGAGAGAAGCCAGATACTGGACTGGATTCCATCCATGATATCAAAGTGATTGCACAGAGTAGAATGGAATGGAGAAATAGGCTGCAAGCTCTGTGTGGCACATAATGGCACAGCAGGGAAATAAAGGAATGAAAGATTAGCTTCTGCATCATCATTTTTCTCTCCAGTGATTCTATGAGATTTATTGGCGTAGCATGAGGTGAGTGTACATGGAATAAAAGATTTATGCAAATGAGGCCCATAAAGCTAAAATTAAATGACATGCAAAAAAAAAAGAATGAATTTCTGAAAACCCAGTATGGGATGCAATTTTTTCTTATTTTAAAGCCACACCCCAGCTGTAGTCAGGGGCCCTAATATAACCTAATGGTTGAACAGAGTTTCTGGGACTTGTGCCTGGATGATCCTCATTAGAATTGTGGCACTTTGTGTCACCTGGTGTTGGACCCTTGTTGAACGGTCCTGATGGGGTTGAACGACACACACTTCTGAAATTCTCACTCAGATATTCAGGTTTTAATAATTATGTTAACTCATTTAATAATGATATTACCAGGCGGATTATGTGTATGTAACTAAAGATAACTTTTGAGAGTTGTAGCATAAATTTGGCTTCCCCTATGAAAAAAGAGTGGGGAATGAAGACCAAATAAATTTTAATGATCACAGAAATGTTTTATTTATGCTGTCTTTTTCTCCACAGACTTTTGTTAGCTTTCTCCACATATTTGTGTAAGCTTTCCCTACATTTTTCTGTAAGCTATCTCCACATATTTTTGTAAGCTTTCCCTACATTTTTCTGTAAGCTATCTCCACATATTTTTGTAAGCTTTCCCTACATTTTTCTTTAAGCTATCTCCACATATTTTTGTAAGCTTTCCCTACATTTTTCTGTAAGCTATCTCCACATATTTTTGTAAGCTTTCCCTACATTTTTCTGTAAGCTATCTCCACATATTTTTGTAAGCTTTCCCTACATTTTTCTGTAAGCTTTCTCCACATATTTTTGTAAACTTACCCTACATTTTTCTGTAAGCTATCTCCACATATTTCTGTAAGCTCTCACTACATATGTTTGTAATTGTTTTCAATATTTCTGTCAGTTTTCTGTCTTATCTTTGATCTTGTCCTACTGATTTATTTTTTATAATTTATATTTTCTCTGGTTTGATTTTCTAACTATGAAAGGTTTTTACACACACATCCATGGACTCACAGAGGAAGAAAGGCTAGAGAAGAATATCTATTACATCTAAAACTAAACATCCAGATGTTAATGGTTACATTTTATTAACAAGGCCACATTTTTGTTAGCTCTGCACGCAGACCCAAGTAAATGAAGAGACATGGTCCACGATGAGCCCGTCTCAACAAGAATTTAAACAGGTTATGGCGGAGAATTTGAATGGGGAATCTTTGCAGAAGAAGATCATTTCTTTCAATGAAAAACCTCCCCAAGCTCCAGAAGGTTAGTATTTATTCATGAAATGACGCCATACATTTTTGTTAAGTATCTGTTGTCTTCTTCTTCTTCACGTTCACCAGCTGTAAACTCTGTCAGTAAGTTCTGGTTGTTCATCCACTTTTGGACTGCTGCCCTATTCCAGAACCTGAGTGTTGCATGTGCATCCGTTTTACAGATCTGACTCATTTGTATGCAGACTGCTGGTTCCTTGCCTCTAAGGCAGATGCACTCTGACTTTGAAGGAAGTTTTTGTTGTAATTAAGAGCGTAGAGAGAGAAATACACAAATTCCAATGAATCAAGAGGTGAGAACAAGCCGCTAGCACTGAATAGTTATAGAACTGATAAAATATTATATCTTCTTCTTCGTCCGATCGACATAAATGTATTGGGCCTGTTTATGGCAAGGCTGCAATATTTGTGCCTTTCGGCCGACACATCTGACTTCTGACATTTGTTATCTGGGTTAGCCTTCCCAGTTAGTTTTGTGCTACTTTTGTAACCTCATCTTTTGGTTCCTTCGTCATACTCTGATCCACAGGTTTTGAGAGGACCCTATCTTGGGCAGCCATGTGCAGATTGGTCGACTCTCAAGGGAAGGCAGGGATAGAGCACAGGCATTCCCTTCCATCCAAGGAGACTTATGTAAATGTAGAGCTTATATATGGCACTCTGGAACTAGAATGTCTTTGCACTGGAACCCTCAGAGCAAAGGAGAAAAAGGGAAGAAATTTCATGGAAAAGAGAATTAGAGACAGATGGGGAGAACATGTAGTGAGCTGCAAAAAGGTGACAAAAGATAGGATGTGGTGTTGGTGAGTTTGTTGATGGACAAGGTCTCAATGAGAGAATTAGGAACAAAAGAGGAAGACAGGTTTTCCTTCTTGTCACTTCCTGTGTGGATTCCAGCATCGTTTATGGAGGTGGTCTGGGGAATAAAGAGAGCCACTGCACCACCCCCAGCGTGTTGCAAATTGTTATTAACTAGGATTTTCAGGTGTGGGGCTGAAAGGCACAGATATTGCAGCCTAGCTGTAAACCACAACAAATTGCCAACCAACCTTTTAACGGCGAATGCAGAATTGTTAATATCGTAATTTATTGTTAATAGAGACTGAGTTAAAACACAGAGTTGAAAGGCAAATTCTGAAGGCATAGGTTAATAATAACCACTCTAGATAAAAAAGGTGTAGTAAATGATATATAAAAATCTTTAAATAATTGCTAAGCTGAAGGTTTTTTTAATGTCTTGGGGAAAGGGTATGTGTGCTATTTAAAATAAAATTTTTGTTGTCAATCTATGGGGTGTTTTTCTGTTCTCTAACCGATATCTTGTGTTACAGGTTACCAGAATGATCTGCGTGTCTTGTACAGCACTAGCAAGATTGCAGGCAGCATGAAGAAGATGACCAGGTACATACCTCAGGTGCCGGAACGTATCCTGGACGCACCAGACATTATAGATGATTACTGTGAGTTCATGTCTATCTGCTTCTTTGTTTTGTGTTCACTGGCTGTAAGCTCTGGCAGAAAGTCCTGGTTGTTCGTCAATATGGACTTTAGCTTTTGTTTTGTGTGGACATCTGTTTTACTAGCCTATTTGTGTGCATTTGCTTGTTCCTTGCCGCTCGGGCAGATGCACTCTGACATCAAAAGGAAGGTCCCAGTTAGTCGACTCCTATCACACTCTTGTTGGGGAGGCAGTGAGTCTATTCTTGTTTACTCAGCAATAGGACCTGGGACCCACACACAGAGAAGTTCATGTATATGATTGACAAGTCTTCAAAGTTGCTACATTAGTGATTAACTATCTTAGGGATCATTGCCGGAGCTACAGAGCTAGTGGGCTCCAATTTGGGGGAGCAAAGAGTAGACACCACTGCCCCTCTTACTAACATGTCGTAAAAAGTGACTATCTAGGAGTGTTTTCTTCAAAGTAAGAGTGCATCTACCAGAGAGGTAAAGAACCAACAGTCTGCATTCAAAAAATAAGCCAGATCTGTAAAATGGATGTGCATGCAAAACTCAGAAGTCCGGAAGTAGAAACACAATGAGAACATTTACCTCCTGAGTCAGTGAACACTGATGAGGAAAAAAAGGAGACTGCTTGTGGTGTCCATGACTAAAATATTATCTTGACCACACTGATAATTATTCTACCTGACTCCATCAGGCTGAGTGGTCTGGAGGCATGGCGTCAGCCTCGAAGTGCTGGAGGTCCAGACGAAGGCTGCAATTTATTCACATGGACTTTTAGTAATTTCCCTTGGTCTCTGGGTAGTAAGATCGGATGCCTGTGTGTGTATTGCTGCGCACGTAAAAAATCAATTAGCAGTTGGAAATCGAAAAGAGTAACCTAACGGTGCGGCCCGGGCAAAATTTGGAGTTTAAAATCTACCCAAAGCATTTCAGGATCCTCACCGGTGCTACAGAGTTCATGCACTGTGCTGATATTCTTCAGACAGGCTTGAGTTAGAAGTAGAACGGAGCACTGATGGGTTACTACCCTTGTGCCATGATGTTGATCCGTTGCTTTAACCTAAACCATCTAGACTAATGTAGGAAGACGCTGTTTTACGAATTTTCCAGTGTGGGAGCTTTGTCAATGGCACTTGGCTCCTCAGTGAGTTACCACAGCTCCTCATAATGAATGAAAGTAACCATTTCATGCTTTTTGGCACATGAGGCATATAGAATTCTTTTTCTTGTTTTTTTTTTAGCGTTCACCAGCTGTAAACTCCAGCGGAAAATTCTGTTTGTTTGTCTACTTCTTGACTAGTCCTGTTCCAGAACCTGAGTGTTGCATGTGCATCAATTTTTACAAATCTGACTTATTTGTGTGCAGATAGTTGGCTCCTTGTCTCTCAGGCAGATGCACTGCGACTTTAAAGAAAGCTCTGAATTAGTAGACCTTTACGACATGCTTTTGGGGAAGCAGTGGGTCTCTTCTTGTTTTCCCTATAATAGGGCCCCAGAACTCACAGGGGGAAGGCATATAGTGCTATATTTTTATATACTAGCGGGCATTCGGTCGGCGATGTAGTCAACTTGACACTGACCACGTCTACTCCTCAGGACGTTATCTAGTACCCCCTTCAGGCTAGGTTGACCTGGGATGCAAAGGCAGTTTTGAAAACTATCAATCTTGTGGATTTTAAGCCATGACCTTAGGAGCAGCTGGTGAGCATCTAGCTACTATGCCACCACTGTTCAGTCTATGTAAGTGTGGTGATGTGATTTTGGTCACAGGCATGAGGGAAAGTTAAGGACCGTTGTGATGTGTTTAGGGCGTACTCCATACCTGACCACGGGTGCCAGCTGGCTCTGTCCTGGTTTTACGGAACCTTATGCAAGACTCCTGTCACACGTCCCCGCTGTGCATCATGAATAATGGCTTGTATGAGTTTAAATAGAGCTGGCAGGAGATCGTTAAAGCGTCTGGTGAATGAAAGAACTACTGAACTGCTGAGATTCAGCCCTAGACCAAAAGATTTACCCACAGCCTAGACGAGCAACATCTCATATAAGCGGTATCTGACAGTACGGCCCTGTCTCTGTAAAGCCTTTGTTGACCCCAAGCATCGTAGACACCACAGTGAGGTACACGACAATTTTCTAGTCAGCTGATAAAGCTCAGATGTTTTTCAGATACACGTCGTATGGCATAACAAAGTCACACAAGTCCAACCATCAATAATCCTGCTGGTTGACAGAAAAGTACCACTGGCCCAACTCACCAGTGTTGGGACCAAATAGGGGAAGCCATGCCTGATGCATGCTTTCCATCTTGCCATGTTAGGATGAAACAACATTAAGGGTGTCTAATGTGCTGAAGAATAATGTACCTGTTTGTGTGGTCATTAAAGTCCCGAATCTGTGAGTAGCTTCCTGCTGACCTCTGGAGGGTGCAGTCTATGATGGGTGGAAAGCTCACACACGGATGTGAAGTTAAACAGTCATGTGCAGGATGTGAAGTTAAACAGTCATGTGCAGGATGTGAGGTTAAACAGTCATGTGCAGGATGTGAGGTTAAACAGTCATGTGCAGGATGTGAAGTTAAACAGTCATGTGCAGGATGTGAATGTGTCATGTCCAGGAAGTTAAACAGTCATGTCCAGGATGTGAGGTTAAACAGTCATGTGCAGGATGTGAGGTTAAACAGTCATGTGCAGGATGTGAGGTTAAACAGTCATGTGCAGGATGTGAGGTTAAACAGTCATGTGCAGGATGTGAGGTTAAACAGTCATGTGCAGGATGTGAGGTTAAACAGTCATGTGCAGGATGTGAGGTTAAACAGTCATGTGCAGGATGTGAGGTTAAACAGTCATGTGCAGGACATGATGATTCCTTGGATCAGCCCAGGACATGAGCACCATGTGTCAGCTTTGCATTTGTTAAAGCTTCATTGGATAACGGAGAGTTTCCGCTGTTCCTGTCTTCTCTTAAGGGCCGACCAGTCTACACGCGGTTATCATGGAAAGGCTGTCCAGGGGGAATACCTGTAGATAAGAGGACAAAGAGAACACTACACAAAAAAGACCTCACCAGGTCCTTCAAAACTCTGGAAAGTTAACCCGGTCAAATGCTCGATGAAGTCAAATCTATTGCTGAAAGGCGCAAATATTGCAGCTGTGTTGTGAACAGGCATAACCGAATTACATCACTCAGACAAACCAAAAGAAGAAGAAGAAGAAGTGTACATAAGTAAAGCAGTTTAAAAGTTTCTTTGAGACACAATGCACCCATTATTTTAATGTTGTTATTGATTCTTGTATAGATCTCAGTTTGATAGACTGGTCAGTGCACAATGTGTTGGCTGTTGCCCTGGGAGGAAGTGTCTACCTGTGGAGTGCTTCTACCGGTGACATTACATTGTTGATGGACCTCAAAAGTCCCTCAGGAGATTACATCAGCTGCACAAACTGGACAGCAGATGGGAACCACTTGGCTTTGGGGCTCAGTACAGGATCTGTTGAGGTAGGATCCTGGAAACAAAACTGTTAACATGTGTCTGTACAGGGTCTTCTCCCTCATCTTACCAACGAGTTCCGTTCTGACTAGCAGGTTGTAAGTCGAACTGATCATATGTCAAATTTATAGTGTCAACACTATTTGCATTCTTCTTCTTATTCTTCTTTGTTCACAGGCTGTAAGCTCTGGTGGAAAGTCCTGGCTGTTTGTCCATTAGTGCTTTGGCTTTGCCTTTACATTTGCTTTACTATCTTATTTGTGTGCTGTTGGTTGTTCCTTGCTTTTTGGGGAGATGCACTCAGACTTTGAATGAAGCCCCCAAATAGTCAACTCCTACAACATGCTTGTTGGGGAGGCTGTGGATCTATTCGTGTTTTCACCCACAATGAGGCCCAAAACCCATGGGGTTGGGGGTTTTCAGTATTATTAGATTGTCCTTGCACTAGAACTCACAGGGTCAAATGAATAAAGGTAGACCAAAAAGACATGGAGAAGTTAATTAGAGAGTTAAGTGAACAAATGTAAGGCTATGGAGTGAGTTACACATGAAAGCAAATGATGGAACATCTTTCCTTGAGGGGGTTGAGGGCCTTGCAACACTGGGGTTGGAGGGCAGAATAAAGAAGAAATATTGATATTGACATCATCAATTTAGTATTTATTGGTTTGTGCAAATATGAGATGAAAGGAGGGGGGGGGGGGGGGGGGGGAGACTGTACATCCATTACATTTGAATACATGAAAAAGAGTTTGTTTTCATTCTTCATTGACCTTTTACCTTCAGCTTTGGGATGCTGCATGTCAGAAAAAGCTACGAACAATGAATGGGCATGCTGCAAGAGTAGGTGCCCTGTCATGGAACTCTCACATTCTCAGCAGGTAAGTGATTCCATGGCTGTACTTCTAAAACCTTCATCTTACAGTGAAATAAATGAATGAATGGATTGACGTAACTGATTCCATGGCTGTACTTCTAAAACCTTCATCTTACAGTGAAATAAATGAATGAATTGATTGACGTAACTGATTCCATGGCTGTACTTCTAAAACCTTCGTCTTACAGTGAAATAAATGAATGAATGGATTGACGTAACTGATTCCATGGCTGTACTTCTATAACCTTCATCTTAGTTAGTTAGTTAGTTAGTCTTTCCTCTTGTGTCGAGTGCGGCACATAGGGCAGAGGTCATGACTCTCCATGCATGGCGGTTCGTTGCAATTTGTTGTAGGTCTTGGATGTTTGAGTGGCCCATGAGTGAGATCTTTTCCCACCTTCATCTTACAGTGAAATAAATGAATGAATGGATTGACGTAACTGAACTTGGGACATTCTCACACGATCTGCGCCCCATTCAACTTTAGATTACAAGTTTGTTTATCTTCTTCCGTGCTTGCTGGGTGTCATCCAGGCCCTCTACTTATTATTGCTAGATCCCTGAAAGGATATCAGACCAAACAAAAAGGTATAATTAGTCAACTTCACATTGTCACAGTTACAAAGACAAGTGAACGTTGTGACGAAGATCTTCATTAGCTCATGAGATAGCAGTGTTCTAGACATCACACAGATGTTTCCTGAATCTGTCAGCTAGTTGTAGCTGCATTTCACCAATGTACTTCATACCTCGTCTTTTGTAGATGACAGCATAAATTACATTGTGACTTGTGCAATAAATCCCTGCTTGTTGGCTGTCACCCAAACCCTTTACTTGTTATCGCTGGATTAGTCTCACCATAAATGGATCGTGTCTGTTCTGCTGCAGTATCCGCTAGAATCCAGAAAACCTTGTCCATGTTTGACTCATCATCATTCTTTTATCAAAACAGGGATGTGTTACAATGACTCCAATCACTGTGTGAGAACTATCTACAGGCAGTCTGAATTATTTTGCCAGCTTGTGTGGGCCATATACCTACATCTTGCCACCTCTAAGATTATGTTTCAGTTTATGTGCCATTCTTCATTCCCGTTACCATGCCATTTCAAAAGGCTGTCAAAAAATCTTTTCTCTTTGTAAATCTCTATCTCTCTTTCCAGTTGTCATGTGAAGTAATTTAATTTGGACTCAAATAATGTGAGTCAATCTTTTTTCTATTTAGTGGGAGTCGAACTGGCAGCATTCATCACCATGATGTTAGAGTGGCAGAGCACCATGTAGGAACACTGCAAGGTCATTCACAAGAAGTGTGTGGGCTGAAGTGGTCTCCTAGCGGGAAATACCTGGCTAGTGGTGGCAATGACAATCTACTCAACATATGGCAGGCGGGCGGCGGCTCGCTGTTGACCTCCAGTGAACCTTTGTACACATTTAACCAGCACCAGTCAGCTGTGAAGGTATGTGAATCCGTTATGTATAAGTTATCCATGTTTCTGCACATCCACTTTGTCTGAGAGGTTTTATTTTTAAAATGGTGCCATCTCCACACCGGAGATTGACTGGAGTAAATGTAAGCACTCATTGTTATCTTTAAGAATGCAGTGGAACCTCGGGATACAAATTTAATCCATTCCTTGACTGAGCTCATAGGGGAAATAATTGGAATCCTGAAACTATTTTTCCCATTAAAATAAAAATGTAAATAATTATAATTTATTCCAACCCTTAAAAAAAGAAAAATCATCCTGTTAGTTTCAGAATGAGGTGTTTCATTAACAGGGAAAAATGTGTGGCACTGCTGTTTTGTTTTGCCAGCAGTAAAAATAAACTTCATTCCGACTATGAGTCTACAGTCTATTAACATCAAGGGCCATGTCATCTGACTTGTCTTCTTTCAGCTATTTTACCATATTGTTAACCCTTTCGTCCTTGTTAGGATGAAATTTTTTGTTATTAGAAGCCCCACCCTGGCTTTTGCCAGGGGCCGCAATATAGGCAGGCCATAAATGTGGCCAATTGTCTGAAAGCGGTTTCTGGGACCTCTCCACGGTGATCCTCATCCACATGGTGGCATTTTGTGTCATCGGGTGTTTATCGCTTGTGTGATGTCCTAGTGGGGTAGAAAGTCAGTCAGTCAGCTATTTTAATGGGACCTAATTCATTAAAAAATTATCAAGATGCTCTTGGGTGATGCCAGGAGTTCTCGTATGTCTGGTTTGTATCCTGGATTTCACCTCCTTTTCTGGGGATGAAGACAAATGGGCAAGACCCCCATGTGGGTTCCGGGGCCCCATTGTGGGGAAAACAAGAATAGACCCAATGCCTCCCCAAAAGCATGTCGTAAGAGTCGACTAATTGGGGAGCTTCCTTTGAAGTCGGAGTGCATCTGCCGGAGAGGCAAGGAACCAACAGTCTGTATTCAAGAGAATGAGATCTGTAAAACTGATGCACACGCAACACTCAGGTTCTGGCGCAGGACTGCAGTTCAGTAGTGGACGATCAACCAGAACTTTCCGCCAGAGTGTACAGCTGGTGAATGCGAAGAAGAAGAAGAAGAAATGGGCAACACTGATATCGTGTCATGAAAAACTTGTATCCAAGTACACTTTTGTTCTAAGAATTCACCGTATTACACGTTGAGGCCCCAGTTGTCAGTGGGAAAAGCATGAGAATGATCAAGGTGTTTTTGTGAGAGAAAACTTTTATTTGTTTCTGTTTTCAATTTAGATTGACTAAATCAATACAGACAGAAAGTAGAACTAGTCAACTTATCAGAACACAATCATGAGTGACAGAATTGTTGTTTTAGCAATAAATTCAACAGACAAAAAAAAAAGGACCAAAACAACAATGATTCAATTATAAAAAGGAACTAAATAAAGTCAGCATTTGTGGACTTGTTTTCAGTTTGGAAAAATCAAAATTTTTCAGATTGGCATATAAATTTCAAAGTCTATGAATTATAAACTGTTTTCCCTATTTGGGTTCCAGGGCCCCATTGTGGGGAAGAAAGAATGGAACCACTGCCACTCCAATAAGGATGTCGTAAGAGTCCACTAATTGGGAACTTCAAGGAACTGGTGTCATCAGCCGCTGCACACTGTAGGATTTACTAAGGAGGGGATTTGAGCACTTATGGACTCAAAGGCTCCATGTGCAGTGAGGATAATCTGTCTAACAGGGGACTAAACCCCTATGGAAGCTATTAGACTTCGTCACTACTATCTATTGTTTTCCGGTAATACGTGCAACAGGAGAAACCAACCCTGAGCTTCATGAACTCAGGTGGGCCAACTCTCTGAAAATGTCTAGGAGCTCGTTGGCCGAAACATTTGTCGACGAGAGATTACTTCTACTGATGATTGGTAGACTCCTGCTGTACATGCTCCCCTGTGGAGTTTATTCTTATTTTACAGTGAATGCAACGAATGTTAACCTGTTATATTTGTCTGGCTTAAACCAGGCTTTAGCATGGTGTCCGTGGCAACCTCATGTCCTGGCCAGTGGTGGAGGGACGGCTGACAGACATATTCGATTCTGGAACTGTAATAATGGTGCAAGTCTGAGCTCAGTGGACACCCGCTCCCAGGTAGGGTTTGTTATGTCATGTTATTTGTTTCATACCTTGCTGTTGAAGATTTAGTACTACTGTCATTCTCAGATTGTCATTTTTAGGGAGTGTGATCGTTTTCTGTAGCTGGTCTAGCAGATCCATATCTCTTTTTTTTTTCATCCACTTCATCCTCTTCTTCTTCTTTTTTTAAAAAATCCCCTAACAGAGCATGGCTAAATAATTTCCCAGGACAGCGAATAGAGTAATGTAAAGTGGATGGCCTAACCTGATGTGTGAAACCAGTTGTCAGACTGCTGTTTGTTTGTTGATGTTGTCTTCCAACTTATATCACTGTATACCTCTTACTTTCTTGCCCTCCATTTTTCCTTGAAGTGGGGTTTTTATTAAGACAAATATTTCTTTTAATGTGGTTGAAATGCATAAATATTTGATTGTTTTTCTGATATAAACCTATTTATCTGCAACTACATCTCCAGTTTTTCTGATATAAACCTATTTGTCTGCAACCACATCTCCAGTTTTTTCTGATATATAAACCTTTTTGTCTGCAGTCACATTTCCAGTTTTTCTGATATAAACCTATTTGTCTGCAACCACATCTCCAGTTTTTTCTGATATAAACCTATTTGTCTGCAACCACATCTCCAGTTTTTCTGAAATAAACCTATTTGTCTGCAACCACATCTCCAGATTTTTTTTAAGATTTTTCTACTAGCTAATTTATTGTCCATGTTTTTGGGCCACACAATAGGGATTATATATATGTGTGTGTATGAGTGCATGCCTGCCTGCCTGTGCGTGCGCGAATGTGTATATATATATATATATATATATATATATATATATATATATATATATATATAATATATATATATATATATATATATATATATGTGTGTGTGTGTGTGTGTGTGTGCGGGCACACACACATAAAACACATCTCAGTTCCAATTTTTGTGTTTATTTCTTTAAATGTGAAAAAAAATAATTCTGCCTGTTGTTGAAGATATTTTGAGCCATGTCTATTCTCTTCTTGATTTTGTTTCACTTTTGTCATCTGTTATTGCATGTCCAAGCTAACAAGGAAATATGATCTTGAACGCATACGTTCAGAAAAATTACCTCGACAATGGCAAAAACCGAAACATATTAACATGTACGTTAAGCTTCAGTATGATACCAGACCAGTAAATCATTTATAGCGACCTGCAATCAAACTATCACCTAGCGAGGATCACAATGGAAATCAAATCTAACACAAGCTAAACAAATGAAACATACTGTGAAACAAAATATCTCTATCTGTCCTGGGACATTCCATGCCCATACGTCTTGGAACGTGAACGACCACGCAACAGAAAACCAAAACTACATTTTCTCGGCCCACTACCAACGACTCACAACTAAATAGCCAATAACACATGGACCAACAAGAACACCCAGAGCGTCCAGCCAGTAGAAGGCAGAAAGCCTAAATGAGGCCGTTTCCTGGTCCTTTCGTGTTTTTATGCACTCTGGCCAGGTTTCTTAGCATTGCCATTTAAAATTAATAGCTCTTCTTAGCCTGTCACAATACAGTAATAGTATGACCAAGATCTATGGGGTGTTGTGAATGCATCAGTTAAGAGCTTAAATGAACGTAATTTAACTGAATTAATTATTTTGGTTTGTTTTGTTATTATATAGTGGCAGCGATGTATTTAAAAAAATGTGTTGTAAAAGAGACAAATTAAAGATGTTTTGAAAGAAATTAACACATGAAGACAACTGATTACCCACATCAAAAGAGACAATCTACATTCTTTGGTCAGGTCATGAAAAGGAGATAACTGGAGTACATCATGACAGTAGGATTGTTAGAGGTAAAAAGAGGCAGAGGGAGACTGAGAGAAGAAGCTGAACAATTTCACATCATTGCATGGACAATCATCTATTTAAGAAATAATTGAAACTACACGAGACAGAATGTTGTGACTAGACATGACTACCAACACCATACAGCAGGGACTAGAAGAAGCTATGAAATTTCACTAACGTTCACTTTCACTACTACTTATTTCATAATCAAATGAAATCAGTCTGTTTTATTGTTGTTTAAAAATACATAATTTGTGTAACTTATTAGGTGTGTGCCCTGTTGTGGTCTGAAGAATACAAAGAGCTGATATCTGGTCATGGATTCATGCAAAACCAACTCATCATTTGGAAATATCCTTCTATGAGCAAAGCTGCCGAGCTCACAGGTATAAATTATGTTGTTAACGCGTGTGCTTTCTTAGTTTCATGATTTTGTTTAGTCTCTTTATTTTTATTTTAAACCTTGCTTTAGTACTGGTTTATCAGACCAGAAATCGGACATTATCAAATTATTTCTAGATCTCAGTAAGTCACAGTTTGTTGTTTTGTTTGTTGTGGTAGGAAAACCTTTAAAGTGGGATAGAAATTACAATAAGTATGCCATTGTCTTGTAACCTGTTAGTTTTGTTGTTAAGGATGTCAGAGTGTTAAGCACAGGACATCACGGTGAATAAGGACACAATGACATCATAATGATAGCTTAAAAAATGGCTACCAAACTTTTGACATGCACCAAAGAAAAGCAGCGATCAGTTATCTTTGAAGTTGAAGTTTGTTTGAAGTTTGAACAATGGATCAACATCATGACACACAAGTAGTAACCCATAAGTGCTCTTTTCTTTCTTCTAACTCAAGTCTAAGTCCGATGAAGCTCAGCACAGTACACAGTGCACCGGCTCTGTAGCACCAGCAAGGATCCTGCGATGAAGATTCTGTATGGTGTTCCATGCCTGTCAGTCCAGCAAGTGAATGCGTGGAGTCGGAAGTTTCAAAACAGCATGACAGACTGCTTGATCTTGATGTCACATGTTTAATACTCTTGCCATTATTTACAACTATATTCCCAGGTTACAAGATAGTGTGGCATGCTTATTGTAATTTCTATTGCTTTGATGGTTTTCATTTGAAGCCTAGTAATGCTGTCTGTCAACAGGCCACATACATTTTTTTCAAGGTCAAAAATTGTATCTCTCCCCAGGTCACACTGCTAGAGTCCTTCACATGTGTCTCTCCCCTGATGGTACAACAGTTGTCTCTGCCGGAGCAGATGAAACCCTGCGACTGTGGAAATGCTTTGCCGTGGATGAGCAGACGAAAAAGACAAAATCAAAATCACAGGGTGGCGACGCAAGATCCTGTTTGAGGCTGCACATGAGATAATCTTCGGGAGATCCACAGTGTATATTTTTATTTGGCCATCATTAATTTTGTTATTAGCCTTTTGTTTATGTACTTGAAAAGGTGGATTATACCCAGTTTCTTAGGAGAGGACATTTAGACAAGAGCTAGCCTTTTATTGTCTAATTGGGTTCATCATCGAGATAAAACATTCTTTTAGGGCAAAATTCCTTCTTTTCTTCCTTCCTTCTTTCCTTACTAATAAACTGCAGCAAAAAGTTCTGCTTGTTCTTCCTCTTCTTGATCCAGGACTTGAATTTTTCATGCACATCCATTTTACAGATCTGGCTTATTTGTATGCCGACTGTTGGTTCTCATCTCTGAGGCAGATGCACACCGAAGGAAAACCCCTAATTAGTCACCTTTGATTACATTCTTTTTGGAGGGGCAGCGGGTCTGTTCTTTCCTTAAAAAATGGGGCTCCGGAACCCACACTGGGAAAGGATAATTGAGGGGGGTCAGTTTGATAATGAATGGTTGTGTTCACATGTGTGCAAACGTTTATGAGGTCAGGATGTCAATATATTAGTTAAAATAATATTAATTGGGGGGGTTGTGTCCTTCAAACGAAATGCTTTTTGTTTTTTAAAGCCAAGTTGTCAAATTTGTCTGAAAGAGTTAAGTCTGGCAAAGATCCTGCTTTGCTGACTGTTGAAATTGAAGCTGTGATCTTGTCATTGTCTGTAACATCATGAGATAGAGTGAAGCTGAGATGTGTGAATCTGTTGAAGAAGGAGGACAGAGACTGCACTGTGACTTGGATTTTCAGTGAGGAAGTGTTGTGCCATGTGTTGACAGCAATCTCTGGCCCACTTTCATCCTTATCCAGCAGCAAGAAAATGTGGAGATGGCTGGAAAGGGACTAAACTGCAGAGGATGACTAAGGTGACCTTTGTGCCTTCTCTAAAGAGCTTACTGGTAGTTGCCTTGTTGCCATTGGAATCACTTGAGGCTTCATCTACACAGTTTCCTTGTGTAGGTTCCGGGGTCCCATTGTAGGTGTGGGGAAGGGGGGGGGTAAGATAAGAGTAGACCCACTACCCCTCTAACAAGCACGTCGTAAAAGTTGATTAAGTAGGGGTGTTTCCTTCTAAGTCAGAGTCCATCCGCCTGAGAAACAAGGAACCAACAGTCTGCACACAAAAACGCCAGGTGTGTAATGTAAAGAGGATGAATAACCAGAACTTTCCACCGAAGTTAACAGGCGGTAAACACAAAGAAGAAGAATATGCACTATTAATTGAACCAGGTACAGCATGTGTACCTCTACCTCTATTAACAGCTGCCTTTTTCTGTACTAAACAAGGTACCATGTGGGACTGGATTGAAGCGTATGCACCAGTCAACATATTGTACATTTTAAGTTTAGTCTAGGCATAGTCAAAATACCCAACAACACAAGACTTCTACAAGGATTTGGTTTTAAGATATAGTATGCAGTGACAAGAAGGGACACAGTTCCCAATCAGACAATACATCAAGATCTTGAAATCCAGACCTTACAGACTCGAGTGGGTTAGTCATAGTTATGATGGTTTGGACATGTATGCAGAATGGGAGAAAATCGGCCACTGTGGCAGGCATGGGAGGCTAAGAACCAGGAAACCAGACCTCCAGGACGACACAGGGTCTGTTAGGAAGACAAAATCCAGTCCCTGAGAGACAGAGGATCGGAATGGAACAAAGCCAGAAAGAAAACTGCTGATATAGAACTCTGGTGATCTCTCTGGCAAACCTCTATCTACACCTCAAGGTAGAAGAGGGGCGACTAAGTAAGTCCCATGTGTATTCAAGAGCCTCATTGTAGGAGAGGGAAAAAAGAGAAGAATAGACTCACTGCCTCCATAACATGCATGTCGAAAATATTGACTATTTAGGGGGTGTTTCTTTCAAAGTCAGAGTGCATCTGCCTGAGAGGCGAGGAACTAATAGTCTGCATACAAATAAAGTTAGTTACATGTGTATACTTTACACTGGGAAGACTAACCAGATCAACAAATGCCCGCAGAAGTCGGATGTGTTGGCCGAAAGATGCAAATAATCGCAGCCATGCTGTAAACGGACACAATGCAATTACATCTTCGGATGAACGCAGAAGAAGAAGAAGAAGAAGTATCCTTTACAGAACGTTGCAGAACTAACTGCAACATTTTTTAGGCTGTTGCAAATTTTAAATTAAGTAGTTTGCCATTACTTTTGATACCTCTGACGAAACCAGTGTAAGATGTTCTGCTGCCAGATTGCACACAGCTGGGATAGAATCTAACATTACGAAGCACCTTTCGCAGCACCTTAGCCACAGACGCTGACGCACATAGGGCATACAAATAAGCCAGAACTAAAACGGATGAGCCTGCAAAACTCAAGTTTCTGAAATGGTCGCAGAATGAATTACAAAAGACAGTGAACTTTATACTAGAGACGACACATTGCAAATAAAGATAATCTTTTTCAAGCCAACGAAAGAAGAAGAAGAAGTTCTGAAATAAGACTAAAGTCAAGAAGTGGATGAACAACCAGAACGGTCGGCTGCAGTTTACAGCCGGTGAATACGAAGAAGAACTTGATGACTTCTATTACTGACCTCTTTTTGGGATTCAGCCGCGACCTCCTGGGAATGCCAGAGTAAATATTGTCTCTGCAGCATCTTAGTTTCAAATCACCCATATTTTATTGCTTCATAAGTGGTAGTTTTATTTTTGTGTGATGTACTTCTTTAAATATTTATATGTGTATAAATTTGGTACAGCTTTGTACAAACATTTTGTTTTAACCTGTTATATTACTTGTGAACATATGAAACCAGTAAACCTAATTATACTGTGGCTTGCATTAATTTCTGACATTGATTGAATTGTTAGTTTCATTCCCAGAGTTTGGTTAAATCTTTTTTTTGTTGTTGAGCTTTTGGGGAAAACATTTTCATTGTAACAGTAATTATTGCAGCTTTTTAGCCTATTTTTCTCTCATATTTTTTTTCTTTTGCTGTGTTTATAACTTCAGTGTTCTGTTATTATTGAAAGAAACAACAAAGATGGCATAATTTATTGTTTTGGTGATAATTTTGAATCTATTTTATTTTGGCATTGACATATTTGCCTGTATTAAAAAATTTAGTGGTGGTTGTTGTGGGGAGGGGGGGGGGGGGGGGGGGGGGTCATAGCCTTAGAATTATAATTTAAGGCTTTTACCACAGACTGCAGGTTAGGATTTTTTGGGGGTTTGTTTTAGCAATATTTTGGTCTAATTTCTGTGCTAATTTCTTTCCATTTACATTTCCTGTTTTTAAGACTTGGAAGATGGCATTCGTGTTTAAATGTTTCATTTAATAGATTTTGTGTTGTATAGTATGAAGTGATCAAAGGAAGAGCTGGAGATGACTTGGACATCTTTGCACAATACCTTGTGACACTTTGACACTCTGATGAACAATAGGTGGAAAAAGGCGTGGGTGATCTGATGAAGCCTGCAAAAGAACAGTAGAAGGGGGAAATAAACGAATGAAAAAATGACATGGGATGCCATAGGCAGAACAGCAGCAGTGGATACCCCTTGTGAATGCCTTATTTGTCCATAACGACATAAATAGGATATAGCTAGTGATTAATGAGGGCTGTCGTCACAGCACTGGAAGGATCTGTATGTGCCCCTTTCTCCTTCTCATTAGCTCCACAAGGGTGAAAGGACTGATCACGCCCATGCTGTGTTTAGTAAAGAGATGTCTTTTGGGATCTCTTCACATTTCCAGGCCCATCTATACACTTTCTCAGTCTGATCTAGATCAGAGGGGTCTCACGTTGTACTGATTATTTCGAAAAGTGTCTCTCATAGGACCAAGGCTGGGGGGTGGGGGGAGGGTTGGGTTAGGGCCAGTTCTGGGGTCGATGAAAGCTGTGTCGTCGGTGCTGATGTAATTGAAGGCAAGACAATGTGACACCCCTACGATGTAGAAGAGTCTGAGAAAGCATGAATGCAAAGCCAGACAGTGTTTAGATGGGCGGGAAAACTGGACCATCTTGTCTTCTTGGTAAAATGTTACTGTCTGGCTGACCCTGGTTGTTTGTTTTAGTATCCAGAAGCCATGAGTTGTTAACCCTTAGGCTCGTTATTATGGATATCGCAATAAACTGTCCAACATCTGGAAATCAAAGACACTTAGCAAACACACAAAACTCAAGATCTTCAATTCTTGTGTGATTCCAGTACTAACCTATGGATGCGAGAGCTGGAAATCAACGAAAACTCTAGACACAAAATTAGACAGTTTTGAAAATAAATGCCTTAGAAGAATACTAAATTTCAAATGGTCAGATTTCCGAACCAATACACAAATAAGGCAAGAATCCAGACAAGAGTATGTGTCTAATTTTATACGAAAACGCCGCTGGAACTATGTCGGCCACGCCCTTAGAATGGATAAATCAAGACTTCCTTACCAAGCCCTCATTTGGACACCACAGGGGAAAAGATCTCGTGGAAGACCAAGGGAAACCCTACGTAGAACTATCATCAGGGAAGGCTCACTCATGGGCCACTCAAACATCCAAGACCTACAACAGATTGCAACGAACCGCCATGCATGGAGAGTCATGACCTCTGCCCTATGTGCCGCACTCGACACAAGAGGAAAGACTAACTAACAGTGGGGACGTGTGACAGGAGTCTTGCATAAGGATCCGTAAAACCAGGACAGAGCCAGCTGGCACCCGTGGTCAGGTATGGAGTACGCCCTAAACCCATCACAACGGTCCTTAACTTTCCCTCATGCCTGTGACCAAAATCATATCACCACACTTACATAGACTGAACAGTGGTGGCATAGTAGCTAGATGCTCACCAGCTGCTTCTAAGGTCTTGGCTTCAAATCCACAAGATTGATTGTTTTCAAAACTGCCTTTGCCTCCCAGGTCAACCTAGCCTGAAGAAGGTAATAGTAGAGGAGTAGACGTGGTCGGTGTCAAGTTGACCACATCGCCGACCGA